GGCCGCGCGCCCCCGGCCCTGCCACGGCCCCGCACGCGACGCGCGCTGTCCAGCTGGGGGCTTTGAAAAATGGGGGACGTGTTTGAAAGTAAAGAAACGCCGGCTGGGGGGCGCGCGCGCGCACACACGCACACACACACGCACGCACACTCTGCCCAGCCCCCCAAAAAGGACTGGATTAGAGGAAGGGGGAGGCTCTGGAAATGTGTGGCCTCGTTGCCAGAATCTGTCGGTCCCGCTCGCTCTCACCTCTGTTTTCACTTCTGCCCCTTCCAGACGGGCCAGCTCGGGGCGGGCACCCGACCTTCCCGGTCGCCGGGCTCAAGGTCAGAGAACCGGGACCAAAGTCCCCGGGCAGACAGCTCGGCGCGGACCTGGAACGCCCCGCCAGCCCGGGCGTGAGTCGCACCCCTCCTTCCTCCGCCCGGGGCGGCCTCCGCCCTCCGGGTCGGGCGGGTTCGCGCCCGAGTCGCCCCGTCCCGGGGACCCCGCGTGCGGACGCGGGAGCGGGAAAGCGAAACTTGGGGCGCCTAAAACCAAGACGATATCGTCCAGGTCCAAGCCTTTGGTCTCGTCGAAATTGTAGGCGGACGTGTGCAAGCCCTCCTCCTGGAAGACCTCGTGGACCCCCTCGAGGGTGAAGTAGCAGTTCCGCTCCAGCTTGTCGTCGCTGTAGACCAGGGCGGCGCGGCTCCACTGGTGGTGGCGGAACAGGGCGAGCATCATCTCGCCCATCTTGGCATAGGCGGGCGCCACGCGCGTGAGGTGCGAGTACTCGGTGTCCTTGTGCTGGAAACCCGCGGCCAGCGCACCGGCCGAAAGCATGGGCAGGTCCCAGTGCGACGCCAGCCGAGCCACCGGTGCCGCCGCGTACTCGCACACGGGCCCCAGGATGAGGTCGGGCTTGGCGCCGCGCGCCGCCGCCACGCGGTCCACCAGGCTGAAGAGAGCGCGGTTGCCGCAGTCAGAGTCTTCGTAGGCCACCTGGAAGCGAGTGCCGGCGGGCAGAAGCCGCAGCCCGGTGCCGTTGCCCTCCACGCTGCGCAGCGCGTATTCGATGGCCGGCCGCACCCGGGCCAGGGAGAACAGGTACGAGTCGTCCTGGGGCAACAGCACCAGCACCTCGATCTTCTGCGGCGGCAGCGCCTCTCTCTCCCGGCGCCCGCCGCCCGGGCCCGCGCCCCCGTCGCCCGCGCCGCGGGTGAGCAACGCCCAGCCGAGCAGGACGCACGCGGACAAAGTGAGCCCCAGCGGGGACGGCATGGTGCCGCCGCACAGCCCTACCCTCGCCGCCGAGTCGCCCTCTGCCCCCCGCCCACCCTTCCTGTCCTCCCCACGCTTCTCTCCGAGGTCCCGGCGCCCCCTCGGGCGCTCGAAGAGAAGAGAATACCCCCTTCGCTACCTCGCCGAAAGATAGAGAGGAAGCGTCTTTTTGCAGTGGCACTAGTTTAAAAAAAAGAAGAAGAAAAAGTTCACCGGGTGTAAACCTGTGCGCCTGGAATATATTTATATATACTTATTAGAAATATATATTCGTCCTCCTTTATATATACTATTTTGCTTAGAGGTGGCTTCTTATTTGGGCGTTGCTAAGGTTGCTTTTGAAAGCGTATTTGTAAAAGAAAAAAAAAGTTAGAATGGTCCAAGTGCTTGTAATTGACGGTGCATCTCCCTGGCGTTTGATCTCATTGATTCGCGCCGGTTCCTGGATCCATAGCCCGCGTTTAAATAGCGTGGCAGCGGCGGAGCGCGTTACCACACAGCGCGCGCCGAGGCCGGG